CTGAAAACAAGAAAGGAAACTTACTTTGGGAAGCCAAAGTTTATATATCCCCAAATAATAAATCCTAATAAATCTGCATACTCAGATTAAAACATAAAAATTGTCAAATTTTTTACCATTTTTCAAAATTCTTTAAAATGTAATTAGACCCTAAAAAATGTTGAAAAAATTGGCAAAAAATTGTTTTCTTTCCTACATGCCCAGCAAGATTCGCCTGTTCACCCTGATCAAAAATATATATGGCTTATAGGGTCGGAAATGACTCCTTCACTGCGTGGAACGCTTTAGACTGAAATTATAATACCCTGCTAGGGTATACATATTCTCATTCTTTATATGACAATTTTTTCTACAAACCAAAACTTTGAAAATTCATACCTAAGCCAAAAATGCTTTAATGTCGATGCGGTAGCCAGTGTTAAGATAGTTTTTAACAGGTTAATAAGTCTGCATACTCAGATTAGAATATTAAAATTTTCAATCTTTATATGACAATTTATTTTACAAACCAAGCTTTGAAAACCCATAGCTCAACCAAAATGCATTAATTTTGATACGGTATTCAGCGCTGTGCTAGTTTTTAACGGGTTAATTAATCTGCATACTCAGATTAAAACATAAAAATTGTCAAATTTTTGACAATTTTTTTAAATTCTTTAAAATGTAATTAGACCCTAATAAATGTTGAAAAAATTGGCCGAAAATTTATTTCTTTCCTACATGCCCAGAAAGATTCGCCTGTTTACCCTGATCAAGAATATATATGGTTTATGGGGTCGGAAATGTCCCCTTCACTGCGTATGACGCTTCAGACTGAAACTAAAATACAAAATAAAACATAAAATATGTCAAATTTTTGACCATTTTTTAAAATTCTTTAAAATGTAATTAGACCCTAATAAATGTTGAAAAAATTGGCCGAAAATTTATTTCTTTCCTACATGCCCAGAAAGATTCGCCTGTTTACCCTGATCAAGAATATATATGGTTTATGGGGTCGGAAATGTCCCCTTCACTGCGTATGACGCTTCAGACTGAAACTAAAATACCATGCAAGGGTATACAAATTCTCATTTGTTATCATGTATTTATATGACAATTTATCTTACAAGCCAAAACTTTAAAAACCCGTAGCTCAGCCAAAAGTGCATTAATATCGATACGGTAGTCAGTGCTGTGCTAGTTTTGAACAGGTTAATTAATATGCATACTCAGATTAAAACATAAAAATTGTCAAATTTTTGACCATTTTTAAAAATTCTTTAATATGTAATTAGACCTTAAAAAATGTTGAAAAAATTAGCAAAGCATTTTTTTCTTTCTTACATGCCTAGAAGGGTTCGTCTGTTTACCCTAATTAAGAATATATATGGTTTATAGGGTCGGAAATGAATCCGTCAGTGCGTCGGTGGCTTGAGACTAAAATTATAACACCCTGCAAGAGTATAAATATGACTGACAAAGATGTTATTTGAGATTAGTTGCACAGACTATCTTACAGGAGAAATAACAACAACAGGTTGTGCCAGCGGGAAAAGCACAGAGCAAGCGAATGGAAAAGTGGAGAAAAGTCTGAAACCGAAAGTGTAGCATACTTATAAGGGCAATCATCGTGAGTGTATGGTGGCTGCCGAGAGAGTGCGAGAGATAAAGGCAAAGTGAAAAGTGAGTATTGCAGAAAAGTAGCTGCCAACTGAAGCTAGTAAGTTAACTATGTGAAAGTTCATAAATAGTAATTCAGTTTCCCGAAAGTGACTGGAAACTTTATATAAGCTCTGAGGAATTTAAATATAAAAGAAGATGGTTACTTCTAGGTTTGAGAAGTTTCATATTTATAAAAAAAAAAATAATAAATTTCCTGCTAATAAAATAGCATTGATTATTTTAATGCCTTTTAAAGAAAATTATTTGGATAACTATGCTATTAAAGATTCTCGGAAAGCCAAGTTCCTAAGTGCCCAAGTCCCTAAATATTAAGAGAAAAACCCCTTGAATCACCGATGGCATGCAGCATTTCACTTAGTTATGCCCAAAAACCTAATTACAGCTACGGTCATAAGACATTACTTCCCATCCGTGGAGATTTCGATTCGAAGGCAAAGGAGGCTACTTCCAGGACTTGTGTTCTCGACTCTCCCCCGCTAACGACTGCATTATTAACCCAAGTAGAAATTCTCCGGCCAATCTGCAACCCCACAAGCTCATTATCCCCGAGAAAACCAAGGCAAATTATCGACACCGAGAACCGAACTCCTCATCGGGGTGCTCAAACTAACAAAAAATTCAACTTAACTGATACATTTAATTTTATTTATAACGCACGCATGGACAGAGCACAGGAACAACTCTCCGGGTAGTAGTAGTCCTCCGGTCATAAATATTAATGCACTCCACGCCACGCGGCAAAGGATAAGGAGGGATAAGGATAAGGATGTCTTCAGCAGTTTTCGGGATACCTGAAAGCAAACTTATTGGCTTATTAAAGTCTAATGCTACACGGCACGGCGTGTGTTTGTGTTAATGGGGCAAACACAACACCTCCGACTGGATATGAACCATTAAGGACTTCTACACAGCGAATATAGATGTATATGTGTTTTCAGGTCGAAAAATATGTCATAATTCCGCAATATTTAGAAGCAAATTGATTCTTGAAGCTTTCAACGAACCAGTAATATATTTAAAACTATGTTAAAAGTTTTAGCACCCAAAACTTATTGGTTAAAATATTTTCAAAACTTAAAATGAGTATATAAAATACTAATGTTTCTCCCAGTGCACCTCCATACCTACCTAATTGACTCACCTCGCCATTGAAAACGAATTCACCGCTGCATATTAATGCCTGAATTTTGTGGCACTGCTGGCCGCCGTTATTTAATATCAATGCGGATTCCCCAAACCAGAAACAACCTTATAAATATCCCAAGGAAAAGAAACAAGAAAGAAAAGTGAGAGGAAAAACTTTCGGCCTGCAAAGTTAAGCTCATGAAATGGTCAAAACTGTTTAAGCCATGGCCAATATTGGGCATTAAGTAGGCTTTGATGAGAGAGAGCCATACCCATGAATAAGAAAGAAGTCCGGCAAGTTGCTGCCTTTTATGACGTTCCAAAATCAAGCCAATAAAGTTTCGGGGATGAAACATGAACAAATGCCCCGCTTTCGTCCCTTGGGGACCGAAAGTTTTCAACTCAATTTTGGCTCTGCCACATTTTTTGTTCGGCATTTTTAAAATATTTATGTTATTACGCTCTATGCTTAAATTTATGAATTTGCCAAAGTATTTAGTCAATAGCTTAGCGCCGACCAACAACAAAAACTTTTCGATGCCGGCTGCATATTTCATGGCGTCTCTCTCCTATCGACGAGAGTGGGTAATATTTATAGGAGTGAGGTCCTGAATTTATGTCGAAAGTTTCAGCCCGCTTAATGTGCAGACAGTTGAACAAAGGCCCGGGCCACATTATGAAATCTTAATGGATGGCCCAAAGGCAGCGAAAAACTATTTAACTTTCCAAAAGAGGAGTATAACCTGGAAGCTAGTCAGTTGAGGTATTATAAGTTTATATAGGGGTTATAGGTTTATATATATATGACAAATTTTCAATAAATCTTCAAAAAGAAACAATTTAATTCAAGACCAGTTGCAAATCCTGCAAGTTCTACATAAATAATGAGAAAACCCATCAATTTAAACTCAATTGTTTTTAAGCTTTACGTCAACAGTTGAAAGCAATTAGCTCAAAGGTAGGGCCGCCATTAACCTTTGCCGCTTACAAAATCACATTAATCAGGGAGATAAATAACTGAATAATTTCATTTATTTACGGAATGTCAATAGCTGCCAATAATATTATTATTGAAGCATGTCAGATGTTGCGACAACAAAATAAAATCAATGCAATTAAGTCCTTAAGCAAGAAAGTTTCAAGCTCTGACAGTGAATTGCGTTCATTTAATCAACGTTTTAATGCTGTCAACAAGGGTACGAATGTTGTTTTGTTTAGTCCTCGGAGGCGTTCTCGTGGCGCTCTGTTGAAATTTAGAGAGCTTCAAGGATCAGAGGAGGCTGGCATCCAGTGAATCCGAGTGCAGCTCTACGAAATGACCATTGTTTTCAAGGCCCCAAACGCCATGGCCCCAAAAACCAACTCGAGCAGCAGCGGCAATTTCCGCTCCAAATGCTCTACTTCGCAGGGGAAATTATTAAAAGCGAAAACGGGCGCGCTATTATTTTTTGACACTGATAAATTTCCAACCGGAGCAGTAGAGTAAAGCAGAGACCTTGTGGCCCTAACCTCCTGCACTCTCCTCCCCCACCCACTCTCTGAGAATGGCTAACGGGGAAGTAATATAAATCGGTCCCCGAGGATAAATAACTCTGTATTAGTTATGACAGTTCTGCGACTGTGTGTTCTGGAAGCTAACTGCATTCGGTTCTAGCGAGAAAGCGAGTGTGTCTGCGTGTGTTTGTGTACATGTGTGCTCTAGTGGCCTTTGTAATTGCTGGCCATGGCCAGGCATTTCTTTATGGCCAACATAATTATGCAAATTAATATCATGCAAATATGCAGCAGAGAGCCAGCCAGAGAGCCCATGGCAACTCCTCCAACAAACAAAATTATTCAAATTAAATTGCAACACACACAGAGTTTTGTCAGCTCCATCTGGGTAAATTTGTTGTTTGCCTTCTATTGGATAAGGGCGGTGGTTAAATAATAAGAAGCGTAATGAAATTAATTAATGGATCAAAACGGATATTAGATGCTTGAGCAGTAGAATTGGAAATGGAAATTGAACCAATTATAGTAAACAAGGTAAACAAATAGTGAACAAAGGGGAAATATTTGGTGTTTGCAGAACAACTATTAAAAGCAATTATTTTTTGATGCTTAAAAATATTCAGCAAGCGAAGCATTCACGAATTTTACTCTTGTACTTTTGCTGTACTTTAAATCTAAATAATTTACTAAATATTTATTTGCTCTTCCATTTTCAGATCTGTTACGAAAACCCAAAAAGTCAACCGAAACCAATTTCGCAGTCAGAGTCAGTGGGGGACCACCGATTTCAAGGTACGTAAATAAGTCAGAGTGCACTCAAAATGCGCAGGGCTATAAATAAATATAATAACAAAGAGCCAAGGACCTCAACTAAGCCCGATGCCACAAAAGATGTCAAAGACAAAAAGGGAAAAACGGAGCCGAGTGCTAAACTTTTGGAGCTGACTGTCATTCGAAGGGGACATAGAGGGGACAGACTATTTCTGGTGGCTAAAAAATGCAAAAACTCTGGCCAAGACCCTGTGCGGTGCATTGTTAGCGTGGCGTATATGCCACTCCCACAAATATATAGAAATAAAGGGGGCTTCTGGAGGGTTGGGGGTGAATGTGTTTGAAATGCTTCGAAGCAAATGTCGCGCATTGTTTAACTGGAACTATTCTGTAAGTTATTTCTTTATTTTAAGTCACGAACGCTCTCCATAGTAATATTCTTTTATATTATTATATTTTGACCTCTTACACACACCCACCCATACATATACGCACATTTTTCAAGCGCGACTTTTTGCAAATTTTTGAGGGAAAAGAGCAGGAAACCCTTTCTTTGGCGACATGCTTAAGCTCAAGCTTTATGAGGCCACTAAAAATGGGAAGTGGATGCACAGGAAGAGGGGATGTGCAGCAGCAGCAATATATTTTAGAGGGTGTTATGTGTGGGTGCTTTGGAACACTTTAAAAAACTACCCTAAAACTTATATTAATTATTTTTATTTATATTAATTTGCATTTAATATTTACATTCATTTTATTTAAATTATGGTTTGAGAAATTTTACAATGTCCATAAGTCAACATCTTGGTACCAAGAGTTTTTCCGAGTGCTTTCGAGGAGGTTCAGGGTATGCGCATTTGCTGGTGTTAAGTCAGCTAAAAGCCTTTGGTCCACACAACCACTTGAATTTTCGGCTCCAGCGTAACTTTTTGGAAAAACGGATGCAAGCTGAATTACTGGAGATAGAGAAGCGGGGAGTTCGGGAAGTCCTCGGGTATTTTTGGCTTCACAAAGCCAGATGACTATTCGTGGGGAGGGGTATGCGTTTTCGGGATGGCTTTCCTTGGCTTGGGAGTCAGTGAGCTCGGAAAAGTTTTATGCGAGCGCCAAAAGTGCAGTCAACGCACTTAAGGGGAACAAAGTCTAAAAATATGAGTTGCGAATGGGATTGCTAAATGTGCAGAAACTGGACCAAGGGAGCTGGGAAGCAGAGGGGTTTCGCCGGCCGAAAACTGCGAAAGTTTTCGTTTAAATAAATGTGGCAGCTTAGCCAGACGGCAAGATGGCTGCGGCAATAATTCCGTAATGAGGCGAAATGTGGCGAGAGCTTCGTTAAAATTGATTAGAGGCGGCTTCCAAATGGAAATAGTCCTTGAAAGTGTGACGTCAAAGTTTAACAATTGATATTGACTGAAAAAGTAGCAGAGGGTTTCTCAAGCCACAAAAATTACATATCTAAATAAAATGCTAAGATTAAAGGTACTATTTAATTACAGTATCCGCAATACAATATCTCTAAAACATATCAATTTCAATAAGCTAATATTTAGTTATTCAATATTTATCTATTACAAATGCACATATATATTTATTTGTTATAAAATAACCATAAAATGAAAAGTGGTATAAGTACTTTAAAATTTAAAGTGACAAGCTTTAAACAGTAAAAAAGAAATTTAAGGACATACGGCAAACATTTGTAACTAAATTCACGTTTTACATAACATTGTTGCAAATATTTGGTTAACTTTGCAGCCTATGAGCCATTCATTTATTTGTTTAACACACTTTTACCACTATTTCCTTCTCACCTCCACCGATTTCCATCTCTGTCTCTGTTTCCAAGTACTTTTGTTGCTGGTTTCTCTGGTGAAATGATTTATTGCGTAAATTTCATTAATTTGCTGCGCTGTCATAAAAGCGAAGCAGCAAAAACAAAAAAGAAGTGGAATAAAATAAATTTGATTTGGTTCTGTATAAGCTCTGTATGTGAGTGTGTGTGTTCGAGTGGCAGTGTACGTGTGCGTGTTAAACAAATTTTTATGGGCCACCTATGGGGGCAGCATACACTCCAAATGGTATTTATGGCCGCGCCGCCAGAGAACTCATTATACGATCCCTCTCTCGAATTTTAAAATCTTGTACTTTTAACGCTCCCTTATTTTGTATTTTATTTTATTTTAGCAATGTCAGGAACACATGTTAGGGCTTGGGTTTTTGTGTTAACGCTACGTGTCAAAAATTAAAATAACACCCACTCGTCCTTTCTAGGCCAAGTTTATCAAGTTATATCCTGCTGTTGTCCCTGACTCCTCATGCATATAAATCCGTCCCTAATAGATCGTGTCTAATTTATGAGTAACGCGAGCATTACAACAACTTATTACATCGCAGAACACATAGACACATGCGTGATTACGTGGGTGCTGTGGAGCCCTTTCAGGAAGATGTTTTATTTTCCAATAAACCAGTGTCATTAGCTAAGGAAATATATTACATTTCATAAAAAATTCACTTATTATCTCTTAATAAGAATATATTTCAACCACTTGCCTGCACTGTTTTTCAAAGACATCTCGAAGCGTGTTGAAATTGTACTACATGCTAACTATATTACTATTACTAGTTAAAGTTCTGAATACATATTCTCACTGTGTTAAAAAGCAGAAATTGACAGTTTTAGACACTAAGAGGGTATTTGAACGCCGGTTTGATAACGTAAGCGACAATCCCGTGATGCTTTCTTTTTCGGTACACTTCTAATTTTCGTCTTGCGTGTGCTCTTGGCCAAAAACTCTTAGCCCGGGTGGAGAATTTCCCATTAAGTTTGCAGCTGCTTTACTCATAATTCATGCCCGGCACACACACAAACACACACACACACACAATCCCCACTGGCACCCACACACATATGCACACAGAGACAGTCACAGATTGGGGCATGTTAATTTGTAGGCCAGTGCAAGCGGATGTCCTTTTGAGGTCTTTAAACGCAAATGAAAGGCAGGACGAGCTTTTACTGCCTGCCAAGAGAGCCCATGTATCACTTGTGTAGCTCTTCGTGTCTCATACCCTCGCACTCTATTAGTGCGTGTGTGTTGCTCTAAATTAGATTTTCATTTGTGTTTGGAGGCGAAGTTCTCTCTTACAGCCTTTCTCCTTTGCTAGTTTTATCAGCCAAAAGGACTATCGCACTTTTACGACCGGCACATAAAACCCTTTACCGGAAGGGCGGCCTGAAATCAATGCTGAAATTAATTAATCCAGTCAAGTTGAAGCCGTCATAAGCCGTCAACCAAAACCGAGCGATAAATGTGTTGCATATGTGGAATGAGATCATTCGGAGACCAAATAACGATACATGTGTATAAAATTTAGCTTTATATGTTGAAAATTTCGAAATTTCTATAATTGTAAGTTTTATTACGCTTGAGACAAGTGCGTTTACTAATAAACTTTCGCTTATGGCTTGCAATAAAAATAAGAAATATTCCCACAGCTTCGCTGACAACTATCTGGAACGTTCAACAGTTTCGGGAGCCGTCAAACAATGTGCAAACAATTAACTCATTGCAGGCGCTCATTAAGTGCCACAAGTTGATTAAAGCCTTCGAAACTTTGTTAAAAAAGAATGTTTGAGAAGGTCCCGCTCTCCTGCTCCACTCCCTTAATTTCGTTTCCCCTAATTCCCCACCGACGAACAAAAAAAACACAAACACAATTTGCTCCCTGGCGGGAGAGAGACTTGTGACAAGTGAAGTGGCACTCGAAATATGCCCAAGATAAAAATGTTTGTTCGGTGTTTGGTTGTTTCACTTCTTCTTGTCAACGCAAACTTGGCAATCGCAAACTTTTTTTAATACTTAAGAAGCGATAAATATTGCAAATATATGTATACAAAATATACATACATACATATAGGCACACGCACACACGAAGGGTGGCACTCATTTGACTCTTGAAAGTCGACTCAAGTTGCCTATGTTTCGCTTATGCTCGTAACCCACATTTTAAACAGATGTGGTGATTCAAATAGAGCACTATTTCAATAAATAAAATTCTTTGTTTTCCACTTGTTTCTAAAAATATGCCATAATTATGTGATATATACAAATATTAAGTCTTATTTGTCATTTTATGGGACAAAATATTTTTTTATTAACTGTAGCAAATACATAATATATAATAAAACGCATATTTTCTATTATTTCGACCGCAGCTGTACGTCCTATAACCAGAATTAATGAAATTCTCACCAGACTCTCTCCTTCGTTCGCAGCCAAAAAGCACTTGTTGGTGCTATTCGGCTGTTCTCATTATCTTTTAACGTTATTATTACATAGCATACTTTTTGGGGAGCTTAGCTGCCATGCCATTCCCATTATTTTCTCCGTTCCGAAACAAATTCCGCCTGTTCGCTTGATTATTATATTTGTTTTTGGCTTTGTTTTCGTTTCACCCTGGCTTTTGCTTATTAAAAAGTTGCGATCGATTATGCGAAAAGTTTGACATCCAAATATAAGGAACAAGGAAGGGAAGGGCAGGCTTCCTCAAAAAATATGACTAAAGAAATACGGTTGCTAGGCAAAAAGATGAAAAATAAAATATAAACTTCAATCAGCTGCGCGAGGTCCAGAAAAAGTAAAACTTTTTCAACACGCGCCGCAAAAATCAATAGACCAAAATGCAGCTGCTAATTGGTAAATAGGTGTCTGCGGTAATTTGGCAAAAGGTGGTCCCATTACCTGATGTTAAAAAGATTGTTTCAAAAGCTTTTAATTATTTAAGGCGATTCACTAACGTAGATTAAAGAATAATTCTTAGTTGTTCTATATTCATTACAAAAGAGTTCCTGCACTCAGTATTACTCATAAAACCCAAATAGAATTTTGATTGATGTCGAACTAGAATTCCCCAAACTCTTCAGTTGGCTCGGTGCTTGAGAAAAATGTTAACGTAAATAAGTAAATAAAGCCCATTCCATAATTTATTTGCACATATTTACAAGGCTTCACTCTCTTGTGTCCTGGCAAACAATGAAATCAATTTAGAATAGACTTTTTAGCAAGCACACACATATCGCCTAAGCCTAATCTCATCTCTGGCTATCTGCTCTTCTTGCAGTTATTATAGACAAACAACCGGCGTCGACTAAGCCAAGTCTATTAACAGAGCAAACAAAGGCAAGCCGCCATAGAAAGCCACTGCGGAGGAGTCGTCAGAATCACCAGAAAGTATCCAGAATCCAGAATCCAGAATCGAGTAAAAGGAAAATCCAACAGAACTCAGCGAAAAGGCGAAAGAATGTGAGCCAAAAGCCGGCAATGAGAAGGCCAAAACGACAAGAAGGGGCGCAAACGCCACAATTGAAACAGTTAGCTGGCAAATCGGATTGCGAATCAGCTGTATATTGACACAAGGAAATCGTTAGAGCCGGCTTAGCCCAGCAAAGAGGCCAAATTTAAAATTAAAAATATATATATAGAGCAGGCAGCAGCGCGACGGAATCGGAATCAAAGTGATATGCTAATGCCAAGGAGCAGTCAGCGAGTGTGGCATGAATATTTCATGAGCAGCGAGCAGTGAGCACCCCGAGCTAACCCCCCTCTCGATGACAATAAGCCGGCTCCGGGAATAGCAAACAGTGAGAAAGAGTGAAACCGGGCAACACGATGACGGAGCTAAGACGGGCTAATGGCCTCCACAAGCAGCCCTCGCTTAGAGGCGATCGCCAGGTGCATCCCCTGCTGCACTCGCTGGCGGATCACGGCTGCAACCTGAGCAGCGGCGGCAACAGTGCGGCCAGCACCACCAGCAGCAGCACGGCCACAGCGACCACTGCTCTCGGCGGAGGTGGAGGAGGAGCTGGTTCCGGTGGAGGATGTGGCCAGGGAGCTGCGGTCACCGCCCAGCGCAGCGTGGAGTTTGACGAGCACGACATCTTTTACGTCTCGCCATCCAAGCGAAAAGGAGCCACAACAGGTAGATTTTACACCAAGAATGCAAGAATTCACTGCTTCTGAACTACTATAGAGATAGTTTAATGATTATTATTTTCTGCCTTTTCCAAAGGTTCCTCCGGCAATGTGGTCACCTTTTCTAATTTCGTGAGCGAGCAGCGCCTGACGCCGTCGTCGTCGAACCGCGGTTCCCTCAAGCGGAGCAAGGGTCGCTCCAATCAATCCTTGTGCAGCTGCGACGCCGGGGATGAGGCCCAGCTGGATCTGCAACCGAATGCGGCCAGACCCTTGTACGAGTACAGTCTGGAACGCAAGCGTAAGACGCACACCTACAGCTGCGAGCAGAACGCACAGATACTCATGAGACTGGAGCGCGAGCGTAATCGTAAATTATCGCTGACTGGCATGGAAACGGGATTGGGAATCGGATTGGGAGTAGGATCGGGATCTGGAGTGGGATTTGGAGGCGGGGGCGGAGACCCCAGCCAGGTGAGTGAAATCCCCGCACCACTTTGTGTAATTGTAATTGTAATCATGAGCACCCAGCGACGGCACGTGCCTCCTCAATGATTTTCCTCCTGATTTTCCACCTGTACTTCAGCCTCTGCCGAGTTTCGAGCTCCTGCAACAGGCAAATGCGATAAGCAAACGGAGCATGGCACGTACCATGGTGTAGGGTGTAGGTTCAGGGAGTAGAACACCGACACCATCTATTGCCACATCCCCCAAGCTGCTACTCCTAGGACCAAGAGGAGTTGAAGTTCACTGAGCATTACCTCGAGTACCACACACAAACCTTCGAAATTTGATTGTAATGGCAAATGGTGTGCATGGGGACTCATGCAAAATCAATAAAATTATTAAAAATGATGCCAAGAATGACAGAGAAAATAAACTTAGTAGAATATACTTCCTCCTTAATATACTACCCGTCAATATACTTTATTATTACTTACTTAAAATTAAGAATAATGAAGATTTAATATCGTCAGGAACTGACATTTTTAGTACACTTCCACAGTTTCTATAGTAACAACATGAAAACAATCGCAACCAAGTAGGTCAAGGCTCATGTCTCTCCGAATTGTCAGAATAGTTTGAATAACCCGCCCACAAAGTTATCAGTTTACTTCCAACATTCACACTAGAAACACTAGTTTCGATCATTTCGATAACCCCTCCGTGACATTCCCTACTGTTTTTGATAAATAAATAATTATTTACAGTGAAATTGTGAGAGAAAAACTGTTGCGACGAAATAGATCGTGTTCAAAATTTGCTAACACTAACACTGTGACAACGGTCACACTAACAACGAACGTCGATCTTAACAATTTTAGTACATTAATTGGCAATCGGTCACCATGAGCATTCGAATGTTTGGTAGTCAAATGTCCTCGGGCAGCGCTATGCCTTCGGTGGTCTCGCTGAACAGCAAGACGAAGCGACCGAAGAAGCAAAAGCTGCCGACCTTTGACCTCTCGCTGGAACAGAAGTTGGACATTAAGAAGGCTTTCGATTTATTTGATACCCAGTGCTCAGGATTTATCGAAACCAAAGAGCTGCGCGTGGCCATTCGCGCTTTGGGATTTGAGCCGAAAAAGGAGGATATCAAGCGCATGATGGATGAGATCGACAAAGATAAGACTGGAAGGATTGCCTTTAATGATTTCTTGTATCTTATGCGCCAGAAAATGTCCGAAAAGGACTCGAAGCAGGACATGATGAAGGCGTTCTCCTTTTTCGATGACGATCACACCGGAAGGATATCGTTGCGCAACCTGAAGCGTGTCGCCAAGGAACTGGGCGAAAATCTCACAGACGAAGAGCTGCAGGAAATGATCGACGAGGCCGATACCGATGGCGATGGCGAAGTCAGCAAGGAGGAGTTCTTCAATCTCGTTAAGACAACCAACTTGATCTAGGACGCTTATTATTCATTCTTTTTTTCTTTTCTTTTTTTGTCTATCCTTTTATGTCTGGGAAACGAAGTTCTTTCCTGACACAGCCACTTTATACCAACACTAACAGTACAACACCTAGATGAAGTTTGGATATGCTTCGGTTCATTAAAGCAAGGCAATGTAAATGCAATTTTTGTCCCTTTCAATTAATCCTGGATTTGTCATCACAGGTTGTCCTTCAATTACAATAATGACAGCCCCTCTAGAAGTAAAATTCTGCGCACTCCGATTAGACAGTCTGTCTGTTCTGTACTCAATTTTTATAACCATAAATATGTATGGTGTCAAAAAAAACAGTCTTAACTTATGGAAAAGAGTAAACTTTGGTGACCTCTTTTCTAACCCTTTTAATATTTTAAGTACAAATTTTCTATAAATTACTTAATACTTTAAATAAAAGTCTGTCAAATAATATTAATTTAAAGGGGCATTCCCTAGTCTGATTATTTTCTTTGGTCAACTTTTTGCAGCACTCTGGAAAGGGGCCGCTGTCATGCACAACAAATCTCTTTGACACATTTGATGTATGTCCTTCCATGGGCCTGTGCTCCACTTTTGGTTTTCAGTTTCCAGTTTTGTAGTTTTCAGTTTGGCTCTCCGTTCAGTTTGTTGCAGCAAATTGTGGCTGCAATTTGGCGGCATGCGTGGGTGCGTTTCCAACTGCCGGAAGGATTTTCCCTGTGCTTTTGGGACTATCTGTCCCTTTATTCACTCTTTAGTGTATCTCCGTTTCAGTGCTCAAACGGCAAACATAATTTAGTAGCGGCATCGTTTTTAGCGGCGTTATTTACGCTATGCGTTACATTTAGCTCCATTTAGTTGTTTAGTCGCTCCTCTGAACTTTAAATTTATCGACTTCCTTCTAGTCGGGATTGATAGATGGATGCACTGATATATGTTATGGTTGACTGGCTGAGCGAAGTGACCAGAAATTTCTTGTGACAATGAAAAGTTCCACTGGCCAATCGTCACTTATTAATTGCAACCGAAAGTCAATTCTGACAAATTTTATATATGTTTATTCAAGCTATTTTGTTATACGCCGTTCAGAGATAATAGTTTACAAGAAAAAAATACGCAAAGCTATGTGTGTATTTTGTATCAAGTATTTGTGATCTGGTCAGTGCACACTTGAAGCATAAAACAAATAATTAGCACACCTAAATATCATTACACTCCGAAATTAATAAATGTGTAATATAGTATGGGAAGTAGCCATACACCTTTCCCTATGCCATACCGAATTCCTCACACGCTGTTTTTATGGCCAAACTTGCCACGTTAAAGCCCTAATAATTGGGAACTTTCCTTTTTATTTTTGGACAACTTTCTTTTAAAACTAACAAACAAAAGCCGAAATGGCCCTTGATAAAGTCGTAAAGTTAAAAGCTCTGATGGATAATTACAAATTGGCAGGAAGGAGAGTTTTTCCTGGACTGCTGCAGAAAACTAAAACAAACTTGAGTATTTATAAAAGTTTTTTGCTTATTGCTTTTCCCCAAATCGATTAAAGGCGATTGTTTTTCTCTTTTTGGGCAGGAGATGGGAAAGAGAAAAGTTCCCAGTAAAATATAACCAACACTCAATTTTACGAACATTTAACTAAATACCCGGGCAGCATTGGGAAAAACCGAGACAGAGAAACGGAGACAGAGCAAGAGGGAGAAACGTTCGTAAAAGTTTTTTTCGCAAACTACAAAACTGCCATAACTCAACATTACGCCCGACACACCAGAAACTCTCCAGAAAACCCTTTTCCCTTCACTTTTCCATGACGAAAATGCTGTAAGTGTAGCAGAAAGTTGCAGGCAGGGCAGAGAAGGGTATAGTTACATAAATTATAGTAAAAAATTGCACAAAATTGCAGCAAAGTAGACGAAAAATTATTATAAAATGTACATTATGAAATTTAAAACGAGACAAAGACGCAAAGCATAATTCAAAAGAGCACACGACGGGGATGAGGCGAATGCGAAAAATTTCCATTCGAAAAAAACAGCGCGATGAAGAAACTAAAGCGATATATCAAGCAATTTAATGCTCAAAAACGCAACGAGATGCGGTTCCCCGCGGGTCCCCGAACCCCTTCAGTTTTCCGCTATTTCTTTGCTATTCGCTGAACCCTTTTTCCCCCGCCATAAACATGTCGTAAAATTTGCGACATAAACGCCAACTAAGCATATACTGTTGCATGCAATTTTGCAGCAATTTATTCCTTAAATGAAATACGTAAATTTTTGAAGGGGCAAAGGATAGCAGAAGAAAGTAGGACAAGGATTAATTAGAGACTGATTCGCAGTCAAAGCAGCTGCACTAGACTTTTATAGTAAGCACGGTTCAAAAAAAGGTAATGTTCTGAAAAGCGATGAGGAAGAAGAAGAACTTCAAAGGAACATGTTAATCATCAAACATATTTCTTCCGGGATTATGAAAGCTTGAATGCTCTTGCATTACATTATGTGGTTTGAATAATATTGTCTTTTTTATGAGAAACCTCTTTCAAATTTAACAAAAAAAAGATTTAGGCACTCTTTTCAAACCAAGAGATTTACATGAGTGTTCTTCACTTATTTATAGTTGCAAAAACAATTTCCCCCAATTTCAATTAAAATTTCACAATTTAAACTTCGATCTCGTTTGAAATGAGGAAACCCGTAAGGTGTTCATCCCATATAAAGTACCGCATGACAAAAAAATTCAAAGAGAAGAAAAATTGTAAAAAGAAAAGCGTTCACAAATTGGCCAGTCTTAAAATATTCAGCACACGCCGGCCACTAAATATTTGCATAAATTATTTGAGGACGAGAGGACAGGAGGTGGGCCCAAAAGAATAAATAAATTACCAAATGAAAATATGAAAATTTCAATTTCCACTTAAGCAGTGGGCAGGATGCGACGAGGGACACGACACGGCCATTGAAAAGGACAAGACAAAGTAAATAAAATATAATCAGCAAGGAGACACACAGACAACAACAGCACACTTTTCTTTTTTTTGAATCTAAGCATAAAGCAATCAAAATTCAAAGGAAATTTTTATTAATAGCAATGCGTTTCGATTCGCCCCCAGACGCATAAAAATAATAATTCCACCAAGGACGAAAAATACACAAAACAAAAAGAAATAAAAAGGAAAAAATGTAAGATGGAGAAAGCAAATCAATGCAAATGTATTTCCCGTAACTGAAATTCAATTTCAAGTCCCAAAGCATCTCTCCTGTCGATGATTATGATGATGACACGAACGATGATGATGCTGACCGAAGCAAATTCAATTAGGGCACTTGGCATGGCCACGGCTCTCTGGGAAAAGTGTCGGAAAATTGTGCGAGGGGGCTGTGCGGGATAAACCTTTTTCCTGCCCTTTTTTTTGCGCTCCCTTCATGTGAACCTGTGCGTGAGTGTGGGAATTCCTTAGTCTGCTTCGGTGTCTATGGCATAATTAAATTTTATGTAGCCAAGAGGCATCGTCCTGCGTTTCCTAAAGAGGAATGTCTTCACTCCATCAGCCATGCCTGATAATTCTAAATCTCTCTCTTTCTCTCTGTCCTCTTCCAGCATCTTGCTAATTTTTTTCGGCAAAAATGTGCATTGCATATTTTTCCTCTTGATTCTCACCATATTAAAAAGGCCAGTTTTTATTACCCCTTTTTTCTTAGGGAGAACTTAATCTACTTGAATAAAATGGGAAAGGAAAATGGTGATGATTAGTACTTCAGGATGCATAATATTCATAGGACAATTTTAAGACAAGAATGAAAATGTTTTCAATTGGTACTCTTAACAAGAACTTTGTTGAAATATAAAACTGATGCATGACAAATTAACTGTAGCTTTTAGTGTATTTAAAGAAAAACCATTTGGATAGAAGAAATAGAATTTAACCCAACCGTAGCCTCATATCCGCCGGAAGTTGCTCATGTCCACATATTGATTTAATGCGAATTTCCCCTCTGTTTGCATGACATCCAACTGTATTCACATCCTGCCCTCTTTCTTTTCTTTTTTCGGTGCCGCAGAGTGACACGCCCAGTTTGTCGGATGTAGATGTCATACCGCCTGTGCCGCCACCGCCGTCGATTTCGATGAAGCGCAATGGCAGCATGCGGAGCCTGCGATTGCTGCAACATCTGCAGCAGCTGCAGCAGCACAGCAACGACAGCAGCAGCAGCAGTGGCAACAACAACAATCACTTGTCCCAGCTGTGCAGCAGCGATCTCCTGCAGGAGTGCACCAAATCGGCGCTGGACGAATGCACCGCCACGCTGCTCAAGTGCACCACCACGACCAGTAACCACAGCGGCAGTAGCTTTGGCAACAACAATCAGTCGGCCGCCAAGCCAGATCTCTGCCAGCCGCCGGGACATGCCCACAATCACAGGCACAAGCTGCCGCAGACGATGCCTCCTCAGAACCCACATCAGAACCTACAGAGCCTACAGAACCCGCCGCCACAGCAGCCACCGCCCCCCTTTGCCGCTCACGAAGAGGACGAGATCTTTTCACCACATTCGAAGAAATCGGATCCCAGTCTGTGCTTTTTGTCGTCGTCGAAATACAATACCATTGGGCCTAGCAGCGACTATGCCAGACACTTGGCGCACTATAGTCGCTACCTGCAGAAGCAGCATCATCAGCAGCAGATGGCACACTTCCAGCAGCAGCGATGTCGATGCTTCTCCCAGTCCCTGCTCAGTTTTCCCCAGCAGCAGCAGCAAGAGAATCCTCACCAGAACTCGCAACAGCAACACCCCAATCCACAGCAACAGCCGGCAATATTTCACACCAGCAGCATGGACTGGACACTGCCAGTTAATAGTCGCAGCTTTAACAACCTGGTCAACATCGATGGGGGTGGCGGAGGAGTAGTACCTGGGAGCGGCTCTTGCCGCGTTCCCTACCAAAAAATGTCAACCAATGCATCGGGGTTGGCCGCATCCTCCACATTCACACTCTCCTCCTTCGACAGTGACATGGGGCATGGCCTCAAAGAGCGCGAATCGCAGACCTCGCTGCATCATCTGCACTCGCATCCACACGCGCATCAGCATCAGCATCCTCATCATTATCACGCGGGCGGAATGGGAGGAGTTGGTCCGGGCCCCAGTTCGGGCTCGGTTACGCCGCAAAAGCATCACCAGCTCCACTCGAGCGTCACGAGCATCATGCCCTGGAAGCACCGCCAGTGTCCCAGCAGGGGATCCTCCAGCTCCGGCACAAACTCGTTCCGTAAGTATCGGGAGGGATTTTCTTTCAGGACTTACAAACATGTGTTTTTTTTTAAACAACAGGCTTAAAAAAGTCTTATAAATGAGTCATCTAGACAATCTAAATTCATTACATTTTATAGGACAAGTATCTTTACAAATCTCTAGCTGTCTGATTCGTTGAAACTAGTAATCGTTTTTAAATACGGCAAATCCCGCTACTGTTTTTTGGCTTTTCAGTGACTCCCCCCGAATGTTTAAAACTCATTTAAGATGGAATTTTATGACGTTTTGCATTCAGTATGCAATGGTATTTGGGTATTTGCCTGGATCTGGCCTGCTCCCAGACATTGTACATGACATTGCACTTAATATTCCGCCGCCCGTTGGCCGTCCTTCGGGGAACATTGCCATTTAGTCGTTAGCCGTTTGATTGCGCTTCATGTAACATGGCTGCTAAATGTTAAACGTTGCCAATGCCCCCGTGACTTTGGTCTCATCATCATCAGCAGAAACAGCATCCACCAATCCACCAACCTTGTCATCCTCATCACCATACTCATTCTGGTCGTGGTCCTATCCCTAGTCCTGGTCCTGGTCCTGGTCCTACCATCATCATCATCAGTCTCGGGCTGCTCATTCCCATCCTCGTCATGTCTCCTGGCAACTGCAATTCGTTAGCAGTCAAAAACTGCGTAACTGCAGACGATGTCCTGTGTCTCCCCTCCCTTAAATTTATGCAAATCGCTGACTGCGGTTGCAGCCAACTGAACCCCCTTTTTTACACACAAAAAAAAAAAAAAAAAAAAAAAAGGAGTGGTAGTTTTCCAAAAACAGCAATTAACTTGTATTATTTTAGCAATTTATTTCAATTTTCAAAAGACCTTCTATTTAATTATTATATTTCCAAATTTTTCTTGTAATATCTTCACATTAATGTATATTTCGTAATCCGTTTTGTCGCAGTGCTCGCACACATTTCTAGTTGCCGTAACACCGCACACCTATTTATACTCATCCGCTCTGAGCAGAGTTTCCTCGTTAGGTTGCACATTGCCTTTCATTTCATTTTCCAGTTGCTTATCGGTAATTCACTTTTGGAATCGCCCAAGTGCCAGCCACTGTAATCAAATGGATACATTGCAGCCATCGCTCATGCTGGTGCCTGAATCCAATCCCCGTCCCTTCCTGCCTCAAGTCCATGCCCAGGGCTAGTTTTTCGCCTCACTTGGCTTATTTGCTTAGCTTCGGCTTCAAGTTCCCAACTCCATTTGAATCTATTTTACTTGCATAATCAAAATTTGGACTACAATTAGAAATAAGCAGCTCGTCATTGATAGCTCGCATAATCGAAATCGAATAATGAGATTGGCATTTTCGTCGATTTGCTGTGCTTCAGACTTGTGTGGTCTTGATTTTCACCCCGGGAGAAGTAAGAAGCTTATATCTGTGAGTATTATGGAAAATCTTTGAGCTTCACATAATGTGAGTTAAGTGTGGATTTGTGGTTACAACTGCATTTCCTTAATAATCAGACAACAGAATAGTAAACATGTTTCGTAATTTGTAAGTTAATTATAATCAAAAAGTTGCTAAATGGTAGTTGTGGCTTAAAAAATAACGAATGAAATATATAGAAAAATCCATTGATAATTATAAACACATTCCTTTTTTTTAGCTCTAAATTCTATTGGCTAAGCAATTAAATATATCGTATTTACGACACACATAGTGTAGCAAATAACTTTCCCAGTTTCCTGTACTTCAAATAAGTAAAGTTCCTAATCAAACTATTCAAGCAAAGAGAACGTTGCTTGAATTAGAAGTCCGGAATCCTCGCTCTGAGCTAATTTCAGCACATTTCCAACAAGTTGTTCTGCTTGATCGAACTCAATTTACTTCGAAAGGGGGGAGAAGAAAAACCAACTCCAAGATGGTTTTTCTTTCCCCTTTCTTTGTAGACCGAAAAGCCAGTGCAGCAATTCTATTTTAAACGTTTAACTAACCATATTTCCTTATTATCGTTTTCTTTTCTGTGCTTCCTTGATGCGAACCCGTTGCCGCAACTTGATATTGATGTCGATGATGCTGCCACTGATGCTTTTTCTGATTTTCTCGATGCTTCTACTCATGCTGCGGCGTTGTTGCTGGTGCTGTAATCAATGCCACTGTCACGGCAATTTGCACACACACAAAATGCAACACAACATCGAACAATGAACAATGGAACCACTGCGACTATGACGCCCAATGCTGACGCTCCTGCTCCTACTCCTGTCCCTGATGATGATGATGATGATGTTGATGACAACGATGCTGCAAACGACTTGGCATTGAACTGCCAATAACAACGGCAACAACAACAACCGATGTGGAACCCCTGGTCATCATGAATGCTGATGACGCTGCTCTCCTCCTGCAGGATTCGATGCTGCCAAGCACTGGCTGGCTGTGAGCTCCATCCTCCTGATAATTGGCGCTGCCAGTGTGGCCGTGCCACTGGCGCTACGTGTGGCAGCAAGTGAGTATCGCTTCGAATCGAATGGGGAAGAGAAAGACCTAACAGACCCGGACCGAACTGAGCTGAAGCTCAGCATTCCACAGACTCTGTCCTGGTGGAGAAACAGACACTCCATGGACAATAATTCAATTACCATAACGCATACGACACGTGGGCCAGTCCAAGGGATCCCTGGGACCCAGTGTCGGATGCGGTATGCGTGCCAGAGTGACGATGTATTTAACTTGGTTAGCAACTGTTGATAAAGCACTGGGCCAAATAACTCGGGAAAGAAAGGAATTTCAATAAAAGGCCTTTATAAAAAACATAAAAAAGATGTGTAAATAGAAGTTATAAGTTTTTTCTCATGACTTAACCCCCTTTGCAGGTGCCCCATTCGAGGAGAGACTGCGCGTGGCTGTTCAGCTGCTGGATCAAGTGCCCTTAATCGACGGGCATAACGATTTACCTTGGAATATCCGCAAGTTCCTGCACAACAAACTCAACGACTTCAAGTGAGCATGCCCATCCATCGCACATGGAAATGCAATTAAAATTTAATACCAATTTTGTGTTATTATCCCCCGTCGCCTCTCTCCCGCCACCAGCTTTGATGAGGATTTGCGCAATGTAATGCCCTGGGGCCGCAGCCATTGGAGTCACACGGACCTCACGCGACTGAAGAAGGGACGCATATCAGCACAGGTAAGTCCCCCTTGGCCCCACCTGCATTTGCTCAGGTAACCTGTAGCCGCTTACCCGGAATTAATTTTGCCGGGGCAGTTTAAAGAGAACTTGACAGTTTTTATACACTATCCATGATCTGGACTTTCTGTGGGGTTTGGCTAAACTTGTGATAAATACAACTTCTGAAATATTTGGAAAGTCTTATGGAAATTTGTAAATAATTTAAAAGACAGAAAATAGAACTCAATAATTTCCATTACTTAAATAATTGATTGATTGATTTTATTTTATTCAAGGACAAGTTTATATAATTCTTTCATATAACTTGAACCTTAATCTAGCTTAAATAAATAAGTGTTGTAATTGTCAAGCATATACCCATGCTCTTATTACAATATTTTCCTCAATCTATTAAAAACAAAATAAACATCTAAATAAAACTGTAATAGTAACACAACAAAATCGCTTTCCAACTTCATTGTCTTTAGCCAAAGGGCGAAAATGCTCTTTTAATATTTTATCTGGAGGCAAGTCGTTGTCCAGACAACGAGGTGACTTTTGCTTTGAGTCTCCGGTATAAGGCAAGAAAAATATTAATTATAGACCACTCACAAAACTCGACAAGGAGCAGAAGCACTGGCAAGGAGCAAAGGAGCAGCGCCAGCAGCTGGAGCCGAGGGATGTTCCTATAACAGCTTCTTCTTTCTGCTGTCGATGATGAGGCTCTTAATTATTTTTTGCCAGGCGACCGGCCACCAGGAGTGGTGGAATATATCCACTTGATGCCCGTTATTGATTCGCTTATGGTTCGATTACGCGAGAAATTTGTGAGCTTTATTTAAAGTGAGTAAGCAGATAGAGTGACTGCCATTTAAAACTCACGAAAATTGCTCAACTAATTGAGAATAAAAAGAGAGAGTGGAGAATGTACTCCCCCCGCGTGATTGACGTGACCGGGACTGGCAGCCAGGATTAATGAGTGAAACTGGCTAGAAAATAGTAGAAGTAGAGAAACGATTAACCTGCGAAAAGTTCATAAATCAATGGGGAAACCGAAAACCACTTGAATATTTCAAATTGTCCAGAGAATTTTCCTCTATTTCCTCATTCTCTCTTCGTAACCGCAAGGACGATTTTTCACGTCCGCCGCGAACGAGTCAAAGGTAATAGCGGAAAAGGGAAAACAACACATTTCCACCTGCCTCGACCATAATGAAAATTAACTTTCCCGATACATTTTCATTCTCGATGTCCCTCCCCACAGTCCCATAAATTTGGCTGCAGTTTTGTGTGTGTTTTTCGCCGTTGAGGGCTAACAGGTAATTGCACCAGTTTGCCAACTCCAACCAGCCGCAAAGTAAAATTATGCAGCACTCAATTTAATTACCCCGCCAAATGGCTTGAGTCCTGACTCTTGTAATCACAGGAGTGCAGGAAGTGAGTATTATGAGCAGGTACCGAGAACAATACCGAAAATATACACATGATTTAAATAGAGAAATTGCGGCATAAGTATAATTTATATCAAATTAAATTGTACCTTTTAATCAGTCATCTTTAAGGATAAGGAAAGTGTGATGAATTAATTTATTTTAGAAAAAATATTACTCACTTTAATAAGAGATATTTTTCTCTGTGCACAGATTGCAACTTTCCTTGAGGACCTTCGGCTGCTTTTATGGCGCACTAAACGTGTGATGCTTATTAAAACTTCACACTTCTAGCAGCTGTGCGATGCACCCCACTCTTATGGCTTCAGTTTACCTTCTGAGAAAACTCCACTTGCACACACACACATAGACACACTCCAGAGAAAACTTCTTGATTTTCATGTTCGATGAACGCGCAGCAAGTTATTGCGGCAATTTCTGGTTCCTTCGGTTAGCTAATTGAACTTGTTGACGCCTTGACGGGGATGGCTTCCGGTGAACAGTTCCGACAGACGGCAGTCGACTGCCAGCAAAATATTGTGCAACGTGGGAGAAGCTGTAGTTAATTGCCAGTCAGAAAGTGGAAAATGTAACTCGCTGCGCTTAATTGGGAGCGTAAAATAATATATACCCTTCAAAGTATCATTTATGGGCGACATAAAATTGTCCAGTTATTTCTGAATGCTTGACTTAATAATTTCAATATTGAGTTTAGACAACACACTAGAAGTACACTCTCTTTATTCTTAGAATTCGGAATATTTATAAATCTTAGAGGTTAATTGGAATGTCTTTTTTTCGCGGGTATCTTTATTAGTTGTATCCTGGAGAAAAGGAAAAAAATGTACACGTTCCCCGGCTTTTGCATAGTTTTTTGTGGCTTTCGCTTAATGTGTTGGCGCAACTCCGATATGAAAACCCCCAATTCCCGGCAAACAAGTTAACCTAATAAGCCTGCTCTGCCCACTGACTAACCCAGCGACTAGAGCAACAACATCCAAATTTATAACAATAACAACAACAGAACAACGTGGCAACTAACTAGTTGACAACATGTTTCAACAATTTGTTGCCCAAAATGCCAAACGTGCAACGAATGCGCTTTGAAAGCCAAAAACAAAGAGTTTTAAGAAATATAAGGGAGCAGGGATTTTGAAGAAAAAAATCCATATAATAGACTTGGGGGAGAATCACGTTGAAACCATCAAGCACTCAAAATCTTGTATGTTGGCTGCACTTTTTGGCCGAGACTCAGGCATTCTCCTTAAAACAAAAAACCCAAACATCTGTGCCCCTTGTACAGCGGAGGCCTTGATGAGAAATGGAGAACATCAAAAGATAATGTACAGAGAAAAATTGCCGAAAACTAAATTTGAGTTTTTGACTATATATTGAAAAACAATAGCTACTTATGTAATTCTTTTACTACTTTCCATTTAAAATGGTAACAAAAACTCTACTGAGTACTGTACGATTTACGATTACTTATCGAATTGTAATATTTTTCTTCGTGTAAGCGGTAAGAAGATAGCCAGAAACAGGTAGCAACAATGTTGAAACATCATGAAGCTCCAAAAAGTTGGCTACTGTTTTTCGGGGCCGGGACACGGAAACGCCGTGTTACGCTTGTCCGGCTGCATGACTGCCCTGCATTCATCCTTTGCTCCTTCTGCCTTCTACTTCCTCCATTTCGGCGCTTCTCCTTTGCTCCACTCTACGGTACAGCTATCCTTGAACTCCTCGCTCGCACACACAGCCTAATGGGAAGTGCACATGCAGCGGCTGAAGGGGAAACAATGGCGACGACGGACGCGCTTGGAGCGGAAGTGGCCGCAACGAAGTAGTCGTCGTCGACGACGAGAAGGCTGTAATCTGGGCCAGGACATCCAGGACATTTGGGGCATGCAGGACACGGAGGACATGGCATCGTTATGGTAGGGGAAATACGCTGCTCGACTGTTGTCCTGCATCTGGTTTTCATACCCTCTATGGTAAATGAAGGGCATTCTGTTCACCATATTTTGAAACACAATTGTTTAAATTAAATTATTTAGGTTCAGCACATATTAAAAAAAACGGAATTTTTTTCATGACATACTATCATTAAAAGGTATTTAATTCTTAACCTCCAGCCCTGTGTTGCATTAAATTAAGACCTTTTCGGACTGAAATTTAAACAAACTTATTAGAAGAAAGCTTACTTTGATAAGCCATGGTTGGCATACCCTTAAAGTTAGTTTTTTTGTAGATAATTAGACTGAGTCTAAAGTTTAAAATACACAAAAATAAATAAATTTCATTTTCAAGTCAAAAGCTTGCAACGCAGTGAAGGAATCATTTCCGACCCTATAAACCATATATATTCTTGATCAGGGTGAACAGGCAAATCTGTCTAGGCATGTAGGAAGGAAAACAATTTTTTGAAGATTTTTTCAACAATTTTTTGGGGCTAATTACATTTTAGACAATTTTTAAAAATTGTCAAAAAATTGAAAATTGTAAAATTTATTTTTGAGTATGCAGAATTATTAACCTTTTATAAACTAGCACAGCACGGAATACCGTATCGAAATTAATGCATTTTTGGCTTATTTATTAATTTTTAACGTTTTGGTTTGTAGAATAAATTGTCATATAAATATATGATCCAGAATGAGAATTTGTATACCCTTGCAGGGTATTATAACTTAAGCCTACAGCGTCCTACGCAGTGAAGGAGTCATTTCCAACCCTATAAACCATTTATACTCTTGTTGAGGGTAAACAGGCGAATCTTGTAGGGAAAAAATTTATGTTTTGCAAAATTTTTAAAATTTTGTTATGGCTAATTACATTTTAAACCATTGCTAATAATCGTCAAAAATTTGAAAATTGTAACATTTTTAACATAACTATTTTAATCTTAGTTATGCTCGATTTCTGATACCACTGCAGGGTATATAAACTCCAGCTTCCCGAAGTAAAGTTCTCTCCTAGGTTTGTTTAATTTTTGATACTGTTAATGGACGATTTTTTTAACAAATTTAGTATATTTGTTTTCTAAGCAACACTTGTAGATCGACTTTTTTGTGTACCGTTGCAACCGTCTGACTAAAATTAAAATACCATGCATGGATAAAAAATGTATTTAGTGTTGGTTAGACAACAGACACTCAGGTAGACAGACGGAAGTAGCCACTGACACCGGGTCTCTTGACTGAAAGCCGAAATAAAACCAGGAACCAGAGGAAACACCACACAATTTTTTCTGTGGCCAAAAAACCATTCTGGATTTTCAGGGGATTTGTTTTGCGGACTCTTGGTTATGTGCCCCTTGTTGCATTCTTGTGGGATTGCAAAGGTGTTGGACTTGCGGTTTTTACTAGCTACCTACAAGCTGTTGCTGGGCTTATGGACCAGATTTCCCTGAATTGGACTTCCTACTTTCCCGCAGTAATTATGGAATGCAATGCAATGCCGCAAAGCAATCAAAAACAGACCTGCCCTTCGGAAATAACATTACATTCATAAAGAACACATTCCTTGCATAGAGTTGCATAAATGCCTCGAGATCTGCTTTGAAAATGTAGCTATGAATTTATTTATTAT